GGCTTCATGGCTTCTTATGGTGATGCCATGCATAATTTCATCTGTAGGTCTTCTCGACAAAGAGTGGCCCTGGTAATCACACAGCATAACAAAAATACAGTGCCATACATTAAGTTATTTTTAAATCAACATTCATGAATGTAAAAGTGTATAAGACTTGTGAAAATGTTGTTGATAATGTGAATGATCCCTAAATTTAAAATGTAAAACAGGTTTGCTTTTAATGGACCCTTCCAAAGTGTCAAAAAATATAAAATGACCAATCAGGTCTACAAAACCATGCGCTTGTTCCATAAACGCTTACGTACATTTACACTGTCATTATGTGGTACCTTAGCAATAATCTCTCCAAGGGCAGGGTTCAGCGGAATGGTCTACTGAATTTCAAGTACAAATTATGAAATCAATTGGACTTTCAAGCCAGCCAGCCAAGCCTACTGAAGGCATCAATAACTTTGTATCATTCAAGATATACACATAATTATTTATTATTTAACGGTTTTGTAATACAGCAACCAGTGAACAACCATTTATGTATGGGTAATTCCGTGTCAAATCAACCAGAGGTCCCAGGTCGACCGTCTCCGATTTTTATGAAACTTCTTAAAAATGATCCACTATGTGAAAAATCAACATACACAAAAGATTAGTCCTACTGGATATGTAGTTTCCGAGATATTAACGCAACAAAAAAGGGGCGTGGCTCTTCAAGATGCGCAAATGCAATTTCCTCCAAAAATGCAAAAAGTTGGTCCAGACAGGTTTTTGTCCCATTTTTAGACCATTGCTATTCTGCAATGGTACATGCTTTTCTGATTGCAGATTTGGAATCAGCAGTAAAAGATGTCCTACACCATAAAAACTGAAGGTTATAGGCGCTGTACTTCCAAAGATATTAGCATACGAAAATCAAAGTTAATTTCACATTGCACTAATTTGTGCCACGCCCCCTTTTACATCAAACTGCCGCTACGGGAAAACAAACAGGAATTGGAGTCTAAAAATTTCAGGTTTTTCAATTCACATGAGTAACTGTCAGTGTAAAAAATGTTAATCTATGATCCCCTGGCACGGAATTACCCAACTCATAAAAAATGTAGTTATTTCCGATTATGAAAATATGTGTAGTTTTTAAAATAGTAACTACAGGTAACCATGAAGGAGCTGAGTACCAAAGCTAAAATTTGGTGTATAAGTAGATCTAATATATCTTGTTAACTGGTGTAAATTTAAGAAAAGATTTTAACTGTCCACATGACGAACCGTTAATGGGAAACATAGGCTTTTTTTCACTTTTTTAGGGCTGGTCCCAACTTTGAATGGATGCCATTCCATTTTAATTCATTTGATCAGCCTGTGCTTGCTTGTGGCTAGAGACAACTACCCATAGATCTGTAATTTAAGATGTATACACTCACTCATATGGACATAGGGTGCATTGAAAATCACAAAAAAATTGCGTCGTTAAACAAAGTGGCTATTTTGAGTGCAGATACTTCAAAAAAAGAAGGGATAACAGTTAATCTGATGCCATATTTGTGTAATATGGTGGAATATATTAGAATACCAAGTTTGACCTTGATAGCTATTACCAATCCAGAGTTATAAGCTTCCAAAGTTGGAGGAAATTGTGTTTGCACATCTTAAAGTGCCACGCCCCTTTTTTGAGGAGTCAATATCTCAGAAACTACAAAACCTATAAACACTAATTTTTTTTAAGTGTTTGTTTTTCACATAGTGGATCATTTTTATGGAGTTTCATCAAAATCTATGAGGGTCATACTGGAACTTTTTTTAAATCTGGTTGATTTGACACGGAATGACCCATTGATGAATTTCTAGACACTCTAGCGATCAATTGTGGTCAGTCAGCATTACCACAGAGCTATTGCAAGGCTTCCTATTGGACAGGACTACGTCAATTAAAATTCTGTTCAGTGATAGAAGCAGTCACTGATATGTTTTTGTGGTACACATGCAATACAATCTTTTCAAATAATGGATTTTATAAATGGATTTTGACAAAAACCAAGGAAACAATTATTAACTTCCATCGTGTATAGGTTCTACAGTACTGGCCAGAATTATCGCAAAAATCACAACGCATTTTACTCATTGCCATTGCGTTGCGTTCACATTGAATTGCTTTGCGTTCATGTTGCGTTGAAATGAACGTTGAATTTTATATAAATATTACCTGGCTATGGATGGGCATTTTTTTTTTTTTTTTTTTTTTTTACAGAAGGTTGGTTGAAACACAACGGTAAATTACATGGATACGGAACGGGGCAGTGTTGACATTCTGTATTATAAGGTTGACCTGAAGACACTGCTGGGCATAGGCCTAGGCTATGCGGCACTAATCCTAAAATTAGGCCTAGATAATAATAGAGTTATTTGAGGAGATATATTGGTGAGTCATTTTGCTATTTTTATTTTCTTGTTACTTTCTGTTTTTTTTTTTTTTTTTTTTTTTTTTTTTTAATTGAGTGGAGTATT